CCCCCCCCCCCCCCCCCCCCCCCCCCTCCCCCACCCCCCCACCCCCCTCATCCCCCCCACCCCCCCTCCCCCCCTACCCCCTCAACCTCACCTACTCATCCTCACCCCTAGCCCTCAACCTCACTACCCACCCTTACTCTAAACCCTCAACCACACCTGTCCATCCTCACCCCTAACCTTCAACCTCACTACCCACCCTTACTCTAAACCCTCAACCTCACCTACCCATCCTAACCCCTAGCCCTCAACTTCACCTACCCACCCTTACTCTAAATCCTCAACCTCACCTACCCATCCTTACCCCTATCCCTCAACCTCACTATCCACCCTTACTCTAAACCCTCAACCTCACCTACCCATCTTCACCCATATCCCTCAACCTCACCTACATATGCTCACCTCAAATCCTCAACCTCACCTAACCATCCTCAACCCTATCCCTCAACCTCACCTACCTACGGTCACCCCAAACCCTCAACCTCACCTACTCATCCTCACCCAAATCTCTCAACTTTAACTTTCCATGCACGCCTTAATACCTACTACCCAGCGTCTTTCTTGATCCCTTAAAACCAAATACTGAGCTTCTGCACATTACCCTCACACCATTTCCTGTCTTCCTCCCTACACTGTCCCAACTGACCCCCCCACCCTCACCAATGGTTGTGCCTGTGACCTGCTCACTTAAGCCTCGGTCTGTTTTGATTGGGGGTCAAGTGTTAAATTGGAAGGGGGACTTTGTGAATTGATGTAAGACCTACTGGCAGGTTGACTAATGTTTTGACTACTTCCTTACAGGAACGTGGTTACGAGTGAAGCAGAGACGGCGGGAGCCATCATGTCCTTCTTCTTATCCCTTGGCCTGGCAGCTGGAGCCTGTCTATCTTTTCTGTTCCGTGGTCTGGTCTGAAAAAGATCCTCAGGAGATATGAGTGTGGACTGTGGGAATCTGAGTTCTACACATCAGATCCTATTGTTTACTGTGTTATTATCCTTTTTATATCAGTTTTAATCAGCTGCCAGTGTGCGAGTAACTGGAAACCACAGCCCTGCACTGGGCTGAATGAGGGCAGGCTCTCACCTCCCTCCCACTTCACATGCCACCCACCCTCTTCTTTAGCCTGACGTTATGTTTTTCTTCTGTGCCCACTGTCCCACCTTCACCAATGACTCTCTGCCAATTTAACCCTCCTATTTCCCCCTTCTAGCTCACTCTCCACTTATCACCGACAAACAGTTCCTCATTAAGAGCTGCCTGATCCCTTTCTCTGTTCCATTTCTGCCCCTGACTTTGACCCATGCCTTCCCCCAAACCGCCAACCCCACTCCACCAACTCTCCTTGATATCCTCACCACCAAGTTGATCTGAGCAGCAACTTGAAATACCCAGGGATAGCAAGAAATGCTGATGCTGGAGTCAGAGACAACACAGTGTGGAGCTGGAGGAACACAGCAGGTCAGGCAGCCTCAGAGGAGCCATCAGAAGATCCTTCTGAAGAAGGGTCCTGACCCGAAACGTCAACTTTCCTGCTCCTCTGACGATGCCTGACTTGAAACACCCAGGGTTGTGTTGGGGGTTGAGAGCAGCGAGGAGTTGTGGGGGTAGAGGAGGGGTAGGGATGGAGTCTGGGGACATTTCTGAGAACTGAGGACCCCAGATTTCCCAGAGGAAGCTCCAGCTAACCTTCAGGGGAAGGGGATTTCCAGACCTTCAACTAAATGTGATGTTTGGCCTCCGCACCAGCCTTAAACTGGCCCAGAGCTCAACGCAGCTGCAGGCCGAGCCACTGGATGTTTTTCTTAATTCTATCATGGGATGTGAAGACCACTGCCGAGACCAGCATTTGTTTCTCATCCCAAATTGCCCTTGCAAAGGTGTAAGATGCAAGGAAAGGCTATTGCAGGGCAGTGTCACCAGGGTAGATCAGTCCCCTCCCTCCTGCTCTGGGTAAACATTCCCAGCTCCCACTGCTCCTCTTACCCGGTCACTACCCAAAGCAAAAACTGTACCACCAGACACTCCCTTCACCAGCAAGCTTTAAAAACCAGGGCAGGTGTTGTGTGGGATCCCAAACTGGACTGACTTTATTCATGAACAAAAACAAAGTTGCTGGAAGAGCTCAGCAGGTCTGGCAGCATCTGTGAAGGAGAAAACAATCAGAGTTAACGTTTCGGGTCCGGTGACCCTTCCTCAGAACTGGCTTTATTCATAATAACTACACAGATTGCTGGAGGAACTCAGCATCCGTGGAAACAGAAACAGTAAAGGTTTCAAGTCTGCCAGACCTACTGAACTTTTCTGGCTTTTTCTGGTTTTATTTTAGATCTCCAAGATCTGCTGTATTTTGCATCTATTTTAACATTTGTTAGTCCCTTTGCAACAAAGAACGTACAGCAATGGGGACACATGAATGTTGACAGTACAAACTATTATAATCCAAGTGTTTCAACAACGTAGACAAGTCTCCAGAGGATAGAATATCAGCAATAACTCTCTTAAGTTGTTTTAATAGATTATTTTTATGCGCTATTTTATATATATCTCTGTAAAAAAAAATACAGCATGCAATCTAATCCCTGTAAGCAACCACTATACAAGTTAGCCTATATGAATTGTACATGAACTGGCCTGAAAAAAAGAAGGAACATACTGCAATTTAAGGAGCAAGGATTGAGAAGAAACCACAATATGCTGAATAAATGTATGAAATGGAACTTTGCAGATCCCTCAAAGGGGAAGTGGAAATGGTGGAGCCATTACTGCTAAAAATGTTACTAACTACAGTCAGGAGGCAAAGTGTTGCTTGGAGGCCGCGCGGAAAAGGGCTGAGATAATATCTAGTTGCTTTTCTGAAAGACAGAAGTTAAATGAACAAGCTGTCAAATGCAGTTGAAATTGAGATAAGACTCAAAAACAATCCAGTTTTGTAGACAGTGAAAGTTCAACCAATTGTGGGGATCATGACACATTCATGACACCCGCCAGTGGTCAGATGGCCAATGACTGAGAGCCAGAAGTGGGATCGTCCTCCCAGCGATGGATCATGCAGGCTGCAGGAACAAACTGGGGGATAGCAGGTCTCCTAGAGGATAGCTCAGGGCAGAAGTAGCCTACTCTGCTATTTTGAGATTGGATTCGGGGGCGGCTGATCATTCTTCTAATATGACTCTCAGACAATCCAAGCAACTCGCCTGGTGGAATATGTGAGTATGATGCATATAGGATTAGAACTGTGGAAACATGGAATAAACTTGCTTGTGTGAATGAATTTGGTGATTTTGATTTGCTGATCCTCGGAGCAAACATATCAACAGTCAAAAACAGCTTGCTACATTCAAAAAGAAACACCCATCTTCTTTGTTATTTTTTTCCCAATGACTTTAGACCACCTTCCTCTAGATATAGCAATCAATTCTGCATTGGAAACAGTTTCATTGGGTCTGCAACACAATCTTTAGTTCCACCAGTGGCTTGTGCACCATATGAGCTGCTTCTCACCAGTCTTCATCCCATCTCATCGATATAAACATCTTTAATATAGAAACAAAGAGCCAGAATAGGCCATTCATCCCTTCGAGCATACTCAGCTATTCAAATGCAGGGAACTCTGCAAGTGCACTCATTGGGCATACACAGTTCCCAGCACTGACATCATCATGGAGACTTTACAATGCCGGGCATGGAATCAGCAGGAGGCTCCAGACTGAGATGGGAAGAGGGCCTAGAAACCAGGGGAAGTGGAGGAATGGCGGGGGGAAGGTGGGGTTGGGGAATGGAGTGCCCCGGGCTCAGGTGAGGGCCAAGGAGACAGGAGGCCATCTCCCTCCCTTCTATGCTTCCCCACCCTCTCCACCTGGCCTGGATCTCTTCCCCAGCCTGATTCCCCTCCTCATTTCCACCCCCAGCCTCCTTCTTCCTGAGTCCTGCCCATCTTCCCACCTCCACCCAAGTCCCAACTTTCCCCTCCCCATTTGAACTGCGCTGTTCAAGGAGGCTTAACATGTAAATGAATTAATGGCACAAATACAGGTTAGCAGCTGTGATTTTAAAACCATTACAGAGATATGGTCACAAGGGGATCAAAGCTGGGAACTAGATATTCAGCAGCATGTGGCTTGTTGAAGGGAGAGACAGGAAAGAAAGGTGGGGGGTGTGGGGTAGCACTGTCGGTTATGGATGGAATAATTACCATCGCAAGAAATGATCTTCAGTCAGAAGATATGGATGAAGGTAAGAAATAAAAGGGAAAAAAGACAATGGTAGGTGTAGTCTATAAGCCCCCTAACAGTAGCTAAACAGTGGGACAGAAAAAAAACAGTCGGTAATGAGAGACAACAAGGTGTAGAGCTGGATGAACACAGCAGGCCAAGCAGCATCATAGGAGCAGAAAGGCTGACGTTTCGGGCCTAGACCCTTCATCAGAAAAGAGGGAGGGGAAGGGGGTTTTGAAATAAATAGGGAGAGAGGGGGAGGCGGATAGAAGATGGATAGAGGAGAGGATAGGTGGAGAGGAAACAAACAGGTCGAAGAGGTGGGGATGGAGCCAGTAAAGGTGAGTGTAGGTGGGGAGTTAGGGAGGGGATAGGTCAGTCCAGGGAGGACGGACAGGTCAAGGGGGCGGGATGAGGTTATTAGGTAGGAGATGGGGGTGCGGTTTGAGGTGGGAGGAGGGGATAGGTGGGAGGAAGAACAGGTTAGGGAGGCGGGGACGAGCTGGACTGGTTTTGGGATGCGGTAGGGGGAGGGGAGATTTTGAAGCTTGTGAAGTCCACATTGATACCATTGGG